CTCTTAATCTTCACTTTTAAAGCTAGGTAAGATCTTACTTTTCTAAGTTTTTTTTCCATTTTAATCATTTATACACTTTATTTATTTTAATAGAAATATAATTTTATAAACATGAATTAATATTACAAATATTCCATAAATTATTATTTCTTAATTTAGAACTTCAATCTTCTTAATGAATATAATTTTTATATTCTTCAGACAATTTTAATTCCTCATTTTTCTCCTCCTTCATCTTCTCCTTAAACTTACTCCTCCTAATCTACTTTCTCTCTTCTTTATAACCTCAGCTGGAATAAGGATTAGCCTAATCCATATGCTATTGGAGGTAAAGGGAGAGAATAATGCCATTCAAGAAAATACTAGAACAAACTACTCATATTTATTATTACAACTTAGTAAAAATCTAATTTTTTAACTTTAACTCTCTTACTCATGATTAACTTATCTAAATGTATTTTAAAGAAAAAACAGAAAAATTTTAATTGTTAACCGAAATCATTAATTATGCTTAAACAGAGATGATCAACAAGAATGAATTAATCAATTATGGAACTCATATTATACACTAATAAAAATACAAAATAAAATATAAAGATATTCTATATTACTCAAGAATTAATCTTTTCTATCATCAATTCAAAATCTCCGCAAAGTCTAAGCTTTTAATTAACAAAAATACCCAAGATGTCTTATAGATTTTACAGGATATAAATTAAAGTTAGAGTGATATTTATTCATTATTAAAAATAACAAAGAAAATGAAAGGCTCTTTTTAAGTGAAGGAAGCTCTAGCTGATATCTTTGATTAAGTAAAAGATGTAAATATAAAAATCTTTGGGGCTATTTTGGATATATTTCGAAAGGAGTAAGTTTCAGACTGCATTGGATATCTATCAGACATGGGGAATCAGAGACAATTAGAATCATAAATCTTACAACAAGGAGAGAATTTAAAACAACGTTATAAGGAATAAAAATTGCCTGTTATTAGAAATGATATCAAATAAATCACAGATGTCTTAAAAAAATTAAAAGATCATGACTTCAACAAATAAGATTTTTCCTCTGAAGAAAATGAAGAATTAGCACTAACTCTTATTAATAGCATCAAGGATAATAGAAGGATCATTGAATTTCTGTAATTTTTAATTCGCCTCACATCCATTGATGAAATTTTGGTATAATGTGGGTCAAATTCATTATATTTATTAGTTAAGATGAAGGTGGACAATCGAAACTAAAATTTTGAAAACATTAGAATTAACAATACTTCCTTAGTGGGAGCCAATTTTGTTAACTGCAACTTAAGTGGATCAGAATTTTAGAATGTAGACATAAGTGGTATGAATTTGAATGGAGCAGAGTTATTTAATTGTAAATGGAAAAATTTGAAAATACATGAATTGAATAAACTAGACGGCCATACTTGGTCAGTTCTCTCGGTATGTTTCTCTCCTGATGGAACTATGTTAGCTTCTGGAAGTCGGGATTAGCCTATTTGCTTATGGGATTTTAGGACAGGATAATAAAAGGCCTAGATGTATGGTCATAGTGGGTATGTCTACTCGGTCTGCTTCTCTTCAGATGGGGCTACATTAGCATCTGGTAGTGCAGATAAGTCTATTTGTATATGGGATGTTAAGACAAGTCAATTAAAAGCTAAATTGTTTGGCCATGCCTGGGCAGTCTACTCGGTCTGCTTTTCTTCGGATGGAACTACATTAGCATCTGGTAGTTATGATAGCTCTATTCATCTATGGGATGTAAAAACAAGAAAAAAAATAGCCAAATTGCAAAATATAGGTTATCAAATTAGATCAGTATGCTTCTCTCCTGATGGAACTATTTTAGCATTTTGTAGTCAGAATGGAGATATTCGTTTATGGAATGTTAAGACAGGATAGTAAAAGGCAAAGTTGGGTTATTTTAGTACTTCAAATATCAATTCAGTTTGCTTCTCTCCAGATGGAAATACATTAGCATCTGGTAGTCAGGATGGCTCGATCAGCTTATGGAATGTTAAGACTAGTAATGAATGGGCCATATTTTATGGTCACCTTAAGGATGTCTACTCAGTATGCTTCTCTCATGATGGAACTATATTAGCATCTGGCAGTAAGGATAAATCTATCCTTTTATGGGATGTCAAGACAGGTGAATAAAAGGGCAAATTTGTTGGTCATGCTTGGTCAGTCTACTCAGTATGCTTTTCTCCTGATGGATATACATTAGCATCTGGTGGACATAACTCCATCCGTATATGGGATCTGAAGACAGGATAAAAATAGAATGAAGTAGATGGTCACAGCCTATTTGTCTCGTCAGTTTGCTTCTCTTCTGATGGTTCAACATTAGCATCTGGTAGTTATGATAACTCTATACGTTTATGGGATGTAAAGACAGGAAAATAAAAAGCCAAGTTAGATGGTCATGTCAATGGAGTACGTTCAGTTAAATTTTCTCCTGATAGTAATGTATTAGCATCTGGGAGTTTGGATAACTCTATCAGGTTATGGGATGTTAAGACAAGAAAAGAAAAAGTTCAATTGCACGGACATTCAAGTGGAATCTTATCAGTTTGTTTTTCTCCTGATGGTACTACATTAGCATCTGGAAGTTTAGATTGCTCTATCCGTTTGTGGTATGTTAAGACAGGATAATAAAAGTTTAAATTAAATGGTTATTATGGATGTGCTTATTCAATAAGTTTTTCTCCTGATGGTAAGAAATTAGCAAGTGGCAATAGTGATAGGTTAACCTTTATATGGGATGTACGGACAGGATAATAATTGGCCAAATTAAATGGTCATGATGATTGGGTATCATCAGTATGCTTCTCTCCTGATGGAAATACTGTAGCATCAGGGGGTAGGTGTGCTGTCTTGTTGTGGGATATTAAAACAGGATAATAACAAGCCTATTTTTCTCATAGAAGATACGTCTTATCAGTTTGCTTTTCTCCTAATGGTAATACATTAGCAATTGGTGCTTAGGATAATTATATCCATTTATTGGATAGTCGAACAGGTAAAAAAAAAGCCAAATTATATGGTCATTCGAATTTTGTAAATTCAGTTTGCTTCTCTCCTGATGGTGCAACATTAGCATCCGGTAGTGATGATAACTCTATTCGTTTATGGGATCTTTAACTAAAACCATAAAAAGTAAAATTGTATGGTCACACTAATTATGTCCAATCGTTGTGCTACTCTCCTGATGGTAC